ATTTGGGGTTTAGGGTTTGAGATTTCTGGTTTAGGGTATAGTAGACTTACAGTTAAGTCTACTTATATGTAGACGTCTATTTCAGTCTACGTTAATTTGTGTTTACCAAAATAAATTATTTTAAAATTAAAATTAACTAAGCGGGAAGTGAAAATGAATTTTGGAGCCTATTTTTCCATATTGGCGCCAATATTTAGGGCATAGGAGATTTACAGTAAAGTCTACTTATATGTAGACGTCTATTTCAGTCTACGTTAATTTGTGTTTACCAAAATAAATTATTTTAAAATTAAAATTAACTAAGCGGGAAGTGAAAATGAATTTTGGAGCCTATTTTTCCATATTGGCGCCAATATTTAGGGTATAGTAAACTTACAATAAAGTCTACTTATATGTAGACGTCTATTCCAGTCTACATTAACCAATTTAACCTAACCGAAAAAATTACACAGCATATAAATATTTTTTTAGGGTTTTCTGGTAAAAAGAATCCTAATCACGCTGTTTAGATCTGAGACGGTTTAGGGGGCGATTTCCGGTGAGATTTCCGGCGAACCCTCTTCGACTCCATTTTCACACCCAGCCACCTTCCTCTCGGAATCACCATTCACAACCAACGACCATCACCACTATCCTCTCCCATCCTTCAGCCATCTCCACCTTGTCTCCTCCTCATCTCCTCCTCGTCACCACCATTACTCTCTGCCTCGTCTCCTCCTCATCTCCACCATTACTTTCCTCCTTGTCTCCTCCTCATCTCCTCCTCGTCATCACCATTACTCTCCTCCCTCTCTCTCTCTCTCTATATATGTGTTTACAAAGAGTCTCTGCATCTCTTATTGTTTTGATTAAAGTGTTCAATTTTCGTTATAGGGTTTGTATATGTTCAATTTATTTGCTGTAAATTGAAATGCATATGTCGTTGACGAAAATTGATGAAGTGTTATGAGTTAATACATGTTTGTAGTGTACAAGCATGTGTTGTGTTTTATTGATTTCTCTGGCTCTTTTTGTTGCAGGTTNCTGTAAGTCTACTATACCCTAAACCAGAAATCTCAAACCCTAAACCCCAAATCTCAAACCCTAAACGTTTGATTGATTATAAAAAAAATCTTAGTCATTGTACCAAATATCATATATACAAAATATAAACTACTCAACATTAAATATGCAATTTTGAATCATTAAAACAAAATAATTCTAAATCTAGAATCTAACCCTAGAATCTAGGGGGAATTGCCAAAACCAACTCAAATATTCATTTTAACCCTAAAGGTGTACCCCATATTCAATCAATTGCAAACCCAACCTAAATGGGTGTTGAAACTACTATTTAACCCTTATGAACAAACAAAAAACGTGGAATATATTTTACGATTCTGTCATTCGTAGGTCTACACTTTAAGAAAGAAGTCTACAACTAGGTAGACTTACATTAACGTCTACTGTGTAAACTAATGTAGACTTATTATTTAGTCTACATCTTAATTTAATCAAATAATTTAATTTTAAAAATGTAGAAAAAATGTTATTGGTAATTTTTTTAATAAATCATCAATTTAAAGGTTAGTATGAGGTAGATAAATTAAATTTTCTTATAATTGAACAATTTAAAAGAATGTATATTGATTTGGGAACTATGTGGTAGACATGTTAATGGTTTAGCAACCAAAGGTTCTAACATGTTATGTCTTTTAGAGTTAGATTCTTAGGGTTAGATTCCAGATTTAGAATTATTTTGTTTTAATGATTCAAAATTGCATATTTAATGTTGAGTAGTTTATATTTTGTATATAAGATATTTGGTACAATGACTAAGATTTGTTTTATAATCAATCAAACGTTTAGGGTTTGAGATTTGGGGTTTAGGGTTTGAGATTTCTGGTTTAGGGTATAGTAGACTTACAGTTAAGTCTACTTATATGTAGACGTCTATTTCAGTCTACGTTAATTTGTGTTTACCAAAATAAATTATTTTAAAATTAAAATTAACTAAGCGGGAAGTGAAAATGAATTTTGGAGC